ATTAGTTACAACACAGAATCTGAAGCCATATCAAAAACTCTTTGTATTCTTTAACATTAAATCTATTGGGCTACCTATAAATGATTACACTATGATTGGTCGTTTGGAAAATATGGGTTCACTGAGTTATGTATACCTTCCAAACACTGACACATCTTATTACACAAAAATCAAAAATTATATTAATATCACCACCGATCACATCAGAAAGAAACATCTTTTAAGTACTGGGAAGCTGTCAAGCTCACAATGGCAGAAACAAGCTTTCCAAAATTCTACGTTTTGCTTGAAAACTCAAATTCTATCACTGGCCACAAATAGTTGTTTTCCTTCAAGTGACAGGCTTACTTCATTTTCAAGTAAATGTCTGCTAAATAATCAAGTATAAATAACCATAGTTTGTTCACAATAGCCAAAAGGTGGAAAGAACCTAAATGTCCATCAGCAAATGAACGGATAAACAAAATGTGGTACATACATACAATGGAATACTACACAGCCAGTAGGAGAAATGAAGTCTTGATACACACTACAGTATGGATGGAGCTTGAAGACATTATGCTGAGCAAAGTAAGCCAATCACATAAGGACAAATATTGTATGACCTCACTTACAAAAAGACAAGAAAAGGCAAATGTATAGAGACCAAAGTTTATCAGTGATTACCAGGGGTGGGAGGGGTTAACAGCGATGGAAAAATCGCATCAAGGGTAGGGTTGCACGGCCTATTACTGTAACTGCTGTCAATAAGTTGTTCATCTGTAAAAAGCTGAATTGGCAAAAACTGTGTGACATACTTACAAAAACGACCAAAAAAAAAAAAAGAGTAGCTGCTGAAGCTGCTTACGTACAACCAAATACTTCACAGGATTTGGTTCCTTGGTTGGAAGGTTTAGGGTCATGGTTTCATGGACATCCCAGTTAACTGGCCTAATAATGTGTTTAGTGCTTCTGCTCTACCTCCTGTTCCCTACATAGTGCCTGGGGTCTTAAGAGCTTGCAAGCTGCCATCCAAGGTACAACAACTGGTCTCTATTCACCTGGAACAACAGAAGGAGTCAGGCAGAGCAGGAGGATATGAAATGTGTGGCTAATAGAGCCTCCTTTGCCATGAAACCAGAAGAACCGGATGGTGCGCAGCTACCATTACTGAACTTTTGATCCAAGATACCACAGAAGAATCCTGATCAAAAGGGGGAAAATGCAGAACAAAATTTCAAATTTTCATGGACTCCAGACTTCCTGGAGCCATTGAGGGTGGATGAACCCCTGAAACTATTACCCTGAGATCATCTTTAAACCTTAAACCAAAAATATGCCCTGAAGTCATCTTAAAACCAAACAATAGTTTAGCTTAACTAGTAAAAAAGGTCTGCTTTGGGCACTGTGCTCTTTTAAGATCCATCTATATGGGATCAAATTAATAGTAACTCAAAAGATTAGACAGGAACCTTATGGGGCAGTGAGTTTATGTTAATGAGGGAGGAATAACTCAGAAAAGGAGGGTGAGAAAGGTTGCACAACTCAAAGAATGTAATCAGTGTTACTAAATTGTACATGTAGAAACTTGAATTGCTGTATGTTTTGCTATGTATATTCTCAACAACAACAAAATAAATAAAAGCTGGGGGGAAAAAAAAACATATCCATAGTCTGTCACCTGTCCTTTCAAACAAACATGGAGCTCCACTTAAAAAGCACTAGTTTAGTTTGTTGCCGTTGCAGCACATCAACAGGGAACTGCCAGAAACTCAGCCAGACTGAAAAAGAGGACATGGAAGAAGGGATATCACTGCTGATTTCAGATCTTGACTGAAAACAGAGAATACCACAAAAATGTTAACCTGTGTTTTACTTGTTATGCAAAGGCATTTGACTGTGTGGATCGTAACAAATTATGGATAACACTGTGAAGAATGGGAATTCCAGAACACTTAACTGTGCTCATGAGGAACCTGTACACAGATCAAGAGGCAGTCGTCCGTACAGAACAAGGGGATACTGCATGGTTTAAAGTTAGGAAAGGTGTGCATCACGGTTGCATCCTTTCACTATACTTATTCAATCTGTATGCTGAGCAAATAATCCGAGAAGTTGGACTATATGAAAAATAAAGTGGCATCAGGATTGGAAGAAGACTCATTAACAACCTGCGATACGCAGATGACACAATCTTGCTGAACGTGAAGAGGACTTGAAGCACTTCCTGATTAAGATCAAAGACTACAGCCTTCAGTATGGATTACACCTCAACATAAAGAAAACAAAAATCCTCATAATAAATGGAGAAAATACTGAAGTTGTCAAGGACTTCATTTCATTTGGATACACAATCAACACCCACAAAAGCGGCAGTCAAGAAATCAAACAACACAGAGCATTAGGTAAATCTGCCGCAAAAGACCTCTTTAAAGTGATGAAAAGCAAAGATGTCACTTTGAGGACTAAGCTGTGCCTGACCCAAGCCATGGTATTTTCAATCGCCATGAATTGACAAGGACATTCCTCCAGAGCCAACAGAGAAAAAAAGCCTTCCCCCTAGAGCAAGCGCTCTGAATTCGGACTTCTAGCCTCCTAAGCTGTGAGAAAATAAATTTCTTTCTTAAAGTCATCCACTTGTGGTATTTCTGTTATAGCAGCACTAGATAACTAAGACACGTACCAAGGATCAGGAAGATGGCGCAAAACTTGGCAACAGTTTGCTCTGTTTTACGTAACAAGGCCATGAGTCCACGCTGACTCAGTGGTAACTAACAACACCAAGAAGACTATTAAAAATTTTGGAAGCCCCATTACCATGATTCTTATATCATACTAGCCTTTTAACAATTATATATGAAATTACACATGAAATTTAGATAAATATGGACACTTGTGCACAATGTTTTGTAATGACCTAAACTTTAATAATCTATTTTGATTTAATACATTCTGACAACTCATCTTTGGCCCCCCCCTTAAATCTCCCCCTTCCAAATTTAACAGTAGGAAAGGCTCCCAAAAATGAAAGTGGAAATCAAACACAACACAGACTGGAAATCACAATTCAAAACGTCAAAGAAACAAAATTAATGACTAACACCAGAACATGAGAAACAAAGCAAATGAGGAAGAAGGCCTATTTTCTTTAACTAGGACTTCCGTCTCTCTCTCGTTTATTTTAAAAGAGTTAGGCTGTACTTAGCCTAATAATGAGAGGGACAGCTATTGAAAAACTGGCCATATAGTTCCCATTTCAAGAAACACACTGGAAAGGCAGTTATCAGTGTATAGATCTGCTGCCCTACTCTGTCTTCCATTTCATACATCTGAACTAATTCACAAAGAATCTGAAGCACTTGGGTCTTTAATAGAAATTTTTATCTTTCTTCCTCAAAGAATGATGGGGGAAAAAATTTTAATTCCTAGAAATAAAGGTACAAAATACTACTGAAACTATTTCTTCTCTAAGTGTACACTTCCTATCATCAATCAATCTTTAATACTGACATGATTATCAGAAAGGGAAGTCACTTTTCAAAAACAATAAAATGTGAGCTAACGAAGAAGTCACATGGCATCCCTGCAAACATTTAGGTTTGGTTTTGTTTTTAATCGCTGCTGAAAAACACCACAAAAATCCTGCTTAGACTTGGTTCTCCTGGTGCCTCTTTTTACTATCAATTAACAGGAACCTTGAAGAGCCTAAGAGTTTAGGTTTGTCTATTTAATTAAGCCTAACAAATGTTCTCATTACAGAAACAATAATTTGTTAAGCCACTTAACAAAATGATAGGAGTGGATGAGAAGAACATGAAATTCCTTTTTAAAATATTCTGTAAATTACGACAGATGTCAGTCTTAACACCTATGTCGTAGTTAGAGGCTCACCCGTAGAGAGACTGGCATGCACGGGTACACATACACATATATACACATACATACGTGCATACATACATATATGTACTCACACACACACATATAAGTAAAATTGTGAAACTATAATCGGTGATATTTGCAACAAAAAAAAATTTTGTCTTTATTTTAAAAATTAACCTGAGGTGTTAAACCAGGTGCCTAGAAATCATAAAACCTTTCTTTACCTTGGATTAAATGTAAGCAAACATTTGAGTATCAATTATACTCTTCGTTGTGGGTCTACGAAAATGAAGAAAACTCGGCCCTTCATCTCAAAAGGCACTCTTACACTTCAATCTTCAAAAATGAAAAGAAATGCACTCTCACTATTGAAGCCTCCACACTGCTGCATATACGAAACAAAGTTACAATCAACTTTTTGATAACAATGAGCTCTCAAATTACATCTTGTTCTTAAAAAAAGACAAAAAACTTTTTTTTAAATCCCTAAGTAAAAAAGTGTAAGATACAGACCGTATGGGACTGGCAGGCACACACGGAATAGCTTTCAACCCACCACCAGGAAAACAAAAAGTATCACTCCAGCCAGAGGGCGAAGGCAGCTGAATGAAATTCGGTTACCTCATTAACAGAACAGGGGAGCACACGGAACCTACCCCGTTTCAGAGGGGGACCCTCTGGACGCTGCCTCCGTTCTGACGCGGACGGGCTCAACCGGGCCTCAGAGAGCGGGGCTCAGACGCGCCAAACTGGGCTTTTCCCTGTGCTCCCGCAAGCCCTCGGCCGTGGCCGGGGTCGAACCTAGGAGCACGACGCGGGCCCCTGGGAAGCAGACGACAGAGAGACGCAGCCAAACGGCCCCGCCGCCCAGCATTGTTTTCCGGCCGGGGCTGGCCCCGGGCC